TGCCCGAGCAGAATCGCGTTGATTGCGATCTGTTCGGGCAGATTCGCGATGATTGCGATCTGCCGGCGCAGGACCGCGATCATTACGGTCCTGCGCCTGGGCTGCAGTGGCCGGCCGCGCTGGGGCGTTTTCGCCATGCTCGAGTTGTTCGCCGGTTGCACGTGGGGCTCGTCCTTCGCCGTGAAACCCGGGGGGGCCGCGGTCGTTACCACCATTCCGATTTGTTCCGTCGGCAATGACACCAGATGCGCGAACAGAAGGCTGACGCGCACTGTTGAGAAGCTCCAATGCAGTAACAGCCGCATTTCCGATGTTTCTTGGAGATCGGGAACGCTCGCGGTGGGAGGAAGAAGCCCCATCTTCCTCACGTTGCGGGGAGGCACGCCTTCCACTACTCCGTGTCACCATTCTTGGAGCAGGGGGTCTTCCCGCTGCAGCGGAAACGAAGCCACTCGCCATAGCAGAAAGCCTTATGTTAAAAACGTCAGAAATAAGAGTGCTCCTATGCCTAGTCCTAGGCATATGAGGTATAAGGGTTTAGAGAGTGTGCTGGTGGTGAGCAAATCAAGATCTAGAAAATGCAAATGAGACTAGGTGGCAGGTCTGAGAGGCCTGCCGGAATGTCAAGGAGTTTGTCTCCTTTACAGCAAACTCCTCTACTAGTCGAATCACAATCTTCAAATTTTTCTTCTAGGCGTGTGTTGCACAGATTCCCGCGGAGCCACGATTTGATGATGTTTTGCCTCGAGAAGCCGCGCTCGCACTCGACGGTGCTCAGCGGCAGCACGGCGAGGGCGATCCAGATGCGGACCATGTTGGGGTAGCTCGTCTCCCAGTCGTCGCTGCGCAACATGTGCTTGAGGCCGGCGTGGAAGGTCTGGTCCTTGTACTGCGAGGCCATCATCTTGGTAAACGGCACCAGTTCTCGTCCCGCCTTTTTCCAACTCACTCCTGCTCACGCACAATTGCAAGTACAAGAGGGGCGGGGGCCAACGGGGAGATAAGTCAGTGGCGGTACCGTATCACCAAGCGTGTAAAATTGACGCACAACAGAGACGCACAGATTACCTGGAAGTACGCACTTCTCCGCACTGAACAGCGTGTGGAGAGACTGGAACCAGGCTTGGCAGAGGCGGTCTCTCTTCGCGCTTCCCTCGGGGTACACGTCAGGCAGGAAAAGCTTCGCTCCGGTGAGGGTGTCTAGGCTCTCCATCCGCTTCAGGAGGTGCTTCACAACTTCCTGCGCAAACAGGCGGGTTACAGTGATGCATGATTCTATGTCGCCTTTTGACTTCTGTCCCTTGATGACGTCCTCGTGCAGCATGAAAGTGTGTTTAACGGGACTTCCCTCCCCATCCATGCCTTCGACCGTCACCTCCCGCTTGTCCAACGCTCCGTGCTTCTCCATGAACTCGGTGAGCAACTCGCTATCCTCAGCGTAGTTGACGCCGTGCTCAATGTATCGCTGCTTCAGCTTGTCGCACGTGTTGTGGACCATTGATGCCACCCGGGTGATGTCCACCTGCACACGGCAAGAAGCCAACGTCAGACACGCTCGAGTGCATGAACATCAGCACGGACCTCTCTACTGCTCACCATGCGCCGTTGAAACTTGAGGTTCAGCTCGTTGAGCAGTTTCAGCACATCTGCCAGGAAAAACAGAAAGAAGTGGAACTTGAAACTCGAGACTGTCTTGTAGGCCTTCTTTTCTTGCTCCCACAACACCACTATCGCCGCCGGTAGGACTGCCACGAGCCTCCGAATCGCATCGCCACGCGCCAGCCATCGAACGTCTTTAAAACCCTGCACCTCCAGAGTCGTCTCGTGCAGGATGTGTTGTAGCTCCATGAACCGGGAGTGCAAGACGATGCTCCTCCCCAAGTTCTCTGCGATGCTCCGCACGACCGTGTCGACCATGCTGAGGTCGGGCACCGCCTCCGCCGCGTCCTTCGCGGCGAGAGCCTCCCTGCAAGTGTGCAAAAAGAAGCGGTTAGAACACTGAAAAACGCCTGACAACAAGATCATACACCACCGCCAGAGAGATTTTGTCATCGCACCTGTGAGCGATGCAGTGGCACATCACCAGGTGTGGGACTCGCAGTTTCAGCTGCTCTGGGTATATCGGCCTGCCTTTGGGAATCGTCCCACGGCAGTACCACGTGAAGTGCTAGGCGCCGCTTGCGATCTAGGATTAGCTCTAATCCGTGCAGAGGTACTAGGGGAGACAGGCGGTGTGCTACTGAAAGCCCGTCTAGCATTAACAGCAGGCCAGTCTACAGGAGCGACATCCTGCCGATTCGGGGAAGAAGACGGTGGTACGCGTGTCGGTGAAGAGGCGCCTAACATGGCGGCTGGCTGGGAACGGCGTAGGAAATCGAGGCCCGTGACAGGTGGTTTGGGCCGTGGGGTGGGTGATTCGGCAGTTTCCGTGTCGTCCGCCATGGCGAGAGGGCGGACTTACGTGACTAAGGCGATAACCGTCTGCAATCGCTGTGAAAATGGCTAGGTAGGGCGTTTGCAAGAGGAGGCTGGAGAAGAAGGACCCCCCCGAAACCCCAACGCCCGACCACAGAGCCCTGTTGACGAACCGCGCATGGCTCCCGAAAACTGTGAGTGGCACCACTTGACTGTGGTGAACCCAAACCGCGCTTCCCGAACCTTCGGCAGGCGCCGAAATTGTGGGTTTGTGGTGCTGGATTGATGACTGTTGTACTAAACTAGCCAATCCCACACTTGTGGCAGGCCACGTACGATAGAAACACGTGGGAACACGGGGGGCGGCGTGCATGATGCATACACTCCGGTAATCACGGCAAAACACCCACACCACGCCTTGCTCACGCGTGAATCACGCCTAAGGGTAGAAAGATTCGGTAACAGACTAAACCCGAAAGTACTCCTGATGTATCAGAGGAACATGGAAAACGTTTCTGATGGGTCTGATATAGCAAAAAAGCATTTCTGAATGAACAGATTTCACTAAGGCCTGATTTCTGAATTATCAGATTAAATAAAAAAGTTACCCTCCAATATAGGACAAACAGACAAAAAATTTCTGCTAGCGACGTCCCTGGCCAGTCTATGAAGGAGGAGTGCTGCCCCCAACCGAGCTACCTCACATATCAATCAAGCATGCTCTAGCATGTGTGATGGCTCTTTAGAAAGTTCAGATGTTGTGAATCCCGTATCCCAAAATCAGTATGTTTTCTCCGTTGTGCTCAGCTAGTCATTTCACCGCTTACTTTTGTTACAGAATGTTACATGACCTTTTTTGTGCGTGTATTCCGAAAGCTCAAGTTGTCCGGACCGCAAATATGCAAAGTTAATGAGTTATTCCCACTCACAAATTTAGAGTTTAGGCAAGTAAAACACATTTCCTAGTGCTGGATGCTGTTTATTTGCCACCTGAACGTCTCTTCTTAGCTTGATGTCGTTCTGATGCGCTATCCACTTCAAGTAGCCTATTACGACACGATAGCACCTCCAATCACGTGTTGTGGGTAAAGAATAACGAGGACGGAACCTGGTCCTCCTGAGAACCAGCAACAGCTTTGATTCCAGTCCAGCTGACTCGGTCAGTAAGTGAGGAGGCCTGACTTCGCAATCCCAGCAGCAAAATTGCTTTGCCTGTCAGATCTTCACTGGCGCGTCCAAGTGCTGCGCGATTGTTTTTTTGATGGAGCTACAGTTCGGCCCCCTCCTTCAAATAAGGGGCTACAGTAAACTAGCCAATAAACTGGATGGATGGATATGGCATGTGAAAAAAGCTCGATCGTTGACATAAAAAATAGAATTCGTGAAACGCACATCCCAGTTGCCGAAGCACATGGACACACCGCTGCTCATGATGGAGCCGCAATCTTCTACATCGAGTCGCGTCTGGGGGGAAATCGCACGAAATTCTCGTTCAGCCAGCAAACACATGTCTGGCACCTGCTTCAGGTGAGGACGTGCTGATACGGCTCACTCAGGTTCCTCACGTTTTAGAGCACTTAAATGCTTATACAGATCGGTTGGACAGGGTTTAGAGAGACATCATGAGCTGCATATTTCTTCTCACAACCACAGATGAATTGGCAGGATGAACAGTTTTTTTATTAGTTCAGTCTTGAAACTGTGGTAGGCACAAGGACAGCAAACCAAGCAAGGCGTGAAAGTCGAGCCATAGGAGGGGGGAGGGAGCGAGAGATTTGCCAATTGGCGCTGCTACGTTGTCGCGTTAGGCCGAAAGGACTCTTTCTTGAAAGAGGCACCACTACACCTACTGCCACTCACGTTAGCCCACACACGGTACGGTAGCACCACGCACAACTTGTGCAGTCGCGGTCTCCAAGTTGAAGTCTCAAATGCCAGTCACGATGTCTTCTAACTTCAACACGCATGACTGACCATTGCTTGTCGTAGTGAGGCCGCAATGCTCCCAGTAGCTTCTGTTGATACCGTCAGCAACGTCAGGCTAGCGTATCGGGAGGCTAACGTCAAGCGTCATATTACCGTCAAAGCTAGGGAACTCAACATATCGTCAAGTTAACGTCGAGCTTAGAATCAATCTCTTACCCAGTCCGTTGACGCGCGTCACGTCACGGCTCCTCCAGCTCACAGTCATCATGCCGACGCGCGCCCAGGGTCCCGTGGGCCTCGCTCAGCAGCACATGAGTTTCGCGCCGTTTCAGCCGCTCGAGGCTACTACGGCGAGCGTTGAGACGTCTCAAAACCCCGTATTAGCAGGCTTCGCCCAACAGCGGACGGGGTTCGCTCCGTTTCAGCAGTCGCCAATCTCACGGCATCACAACGCCGCCGCCTTCGGTACCGTACCGCGCACAGGCTCTCATTCGCCGCGGCGCCAGCTCGAAGCGCTCGCGCGTCCGACGGCCTCGTGCGGCTCGAGTCCAGCGAGAATTCCCGCCGCGTGCTTCCGTGCCGCGCAGAACCCGTGCGGCGGAAGCTCCTCCGCGTTTCCCCCGCGGTCCGCGGCGCTGGAGTCGGGCCAAGGGACCCCCATGGGCTCGAGTTTCGAGACGAAGCAGAATGTGGGCGGAGGGATTCTCACGGGCCCGCCAGGAATGCCGCTGCCTGTGGGAATTGGATCGTCGCGGCTGTCGTTCACCGGCGCGCCTCAGCCCGGCGCGCCCTACTGCATCCCGGCGCTGTTGCAATCCGCGAGAAGCAGCGCGGCGGAGATGTTTCGCTTTCCGCGGTCGCCAAGTACGGATTCCGACGACCTTTATCCAGGTGAGCGTGCTGTTTTGGACGCTCTGTTCATGTCAGAATTACTTTTGCGTCGACTCGAGAGTCATTACACTCCGCGGTCGCCGAGTGAGGAATGAACAACCTTTACCCAGGTGTGTGTGTGTGTGTGTGTGTGTGTGTGTGTGTGTGTGTGTGTGTGTGTGTGTGTGTGTGTCTGTTGTTTTATTTCCTCCGCTTTCTTTGTTTCGAGTCCACCACATTATCCGTGTCTTCACGCGATCGGACGTAGCCTAAAAGTCGAAGTACAACCGTTTTCCAGCCTGCACTTCCGTCCAGGAGTCCTGCTCTAATTCAGTCCTGAAATTCAAATTTCCTGCTCTTCTTGAAATTCCCGATCTCAGATTCTTCGCAAGTGGACGTACCACGGCAAATGGCTGCTCCCGGCTTACCTCCTCCTCTCTCGGTGGCTCCTCCTCACGCGACGCACCATCGCCGCTCGCGAAGCAGCATGAGCGACGAGCAGGCGAACAGGAACCCAGCGGGTTACCACCTCCGCGGCGAGCTCCAGCAGCAGCAGCCATGCGAGTACACCCACTGCCTCACCTGGCAGGGGGGGCCCAGGCGAGACAGCAACGAAGGAACAGGGCCAGTACCCCGTGTTACATCACATGACGCGCCAGGTGTAACCACCACTGGTGGTAACGCCACGGTGGCGAGTGTTTCAGCCAATCCGGGTGGTTTGGCTTCCGATAATCGAGGATCCGGGCGGCTGTGCAGGAGTGTTCAGGACGATGACGTGGCGGAGGGAGCGGCGCCGTGCCAGCGTGGCAAGCCGAGCGCGGAAGGGACGGAGAGGGAACGGGCGGCGTCTTCGCGCAGTGGCAGAAAGGATAGAACCTCTGGGAGGGCGAATGGAAAGAATGATTCAGGAGACCGCGAAGAGAATTCGACGGGGTTAGGAGGGGTAGGGAGGAGTGTGGCTGGGTCAGGGAGAAGATCTGGACGGCTGAGCAGGAATCTGGGGGACGATGAGGACGAGGATCAACGGTCAGGAAAGAGTGGGTCAGGGAGGCTTAGGATGAGCTTGGAGAACGACGACGTGGCGACCGGTGATGTCATGCTGCCACGTCAGCGTGGTTCGGCGGGGCTGTCCTCTGCGCGCCGCAATCCACCGACCCGCCACGCGAAGGGCGGCTCGGAAGGAGATGGAAAGCAGCCTGATCGAACCACACATGAAGGCACGAAAACTCAACTGGTCTCCAGGCGCACCCATCCAATCTCCCAAGGTCAAGCAAAGCCGAAAAGCCATGTTCAGCGAACCCTGGAGGAGGAGGACTGCGAGCACCGCAGCAGATCCCCCCGGGTGTCACCGACAGGCTCGGATTGCCCGCCATCGGCCTCAGAGCCTCGGGAACGCAGTAGCTCACGCAGTGTTGGTGTGGTTCCTGCTGGTAGTGCTAGCAGGTCAGGAGGATCCCTCCCCCGAGGAGATGGGGGAGCGTCTGGGGGGGGTGACGGTGCGAGCATACGGCAGGGCAGCAGGCTGAGCAGGAGTATGGAGAGGGATGGTGCTGTGGGAAGAGCTGGTGATGATGCTGCTGGTTCCCGGCAGAGCAGCAGGCTTGGAAGGAGTGTCGAGAAGGAGGGTGTGGCTTGCCAGCCAGGTTCGGTGGTTGGGAAGAAATCATCAACCCAGGGCGTCAGGTTCGGCGACGTGCATGGGACAGGTGTGGCATGCGAGCGCGGTGTGGTTGGGCGTAGAGGTGTGCGCGGTGGGGAGAGGGGGGGAGAGCACCGGCGGGGAGGGGGAGGGCAAGAGAGGAGGCAACCAGTGAAACTGTGTCGGAGCTTGGATGAGGATGAGGATAAGGAGGTTGATGTTGATAGTGACAATGGCAAGGTTTCTCGCGAGAATGGTGTGTCATCAGGGAGGAGGCTGGAGAGAAACTTGGAGGAAGACGAGGATGGAGAGTGCACAAGAGGAGGTTCGGGCGAGGGTCGAAATCCCCGCAGAAGCCTTGAGCGTCACTTGTCGGATGACGATGATGAAGATGATGAGAAAAAGAGGGCAGTGGGTGGGAAGAGTAGAGGAGGTAGCAGGCGTCATAATGTAGCAAGCAAGGAAGTGGAGGGGCAAGCTTCGGTTGGAGCAGAAAAGAATATGCACAAATCTAAAGGGCTGTTGCACATAATCTTCCAGAGGGACTAATTTTCATCCTTTCATGTTTCCTAGTTTGCAGAGAACTGTTTAATTTATTTAACGTCAGAAGAGAATGGGGCCCCAGAACTTGGTGTTATGGAAGATGTGATGGAAGAAGGGCCTATTAGAATGGATATAGTGAAGTGGCATCATTATGGATATACTCTTGCGAGGAGGCTTATGTTATGTGTCATCGCCTTTAGGGAGCCAATGTCACAGACATACTCTCGGTTTTCTGAGTGGAGAGAAATTTGGTTTTGATGAAAGAGATGTGCATGCCACGTGTCAGTCGAGTGAAAACACTGATAGTCACGTCATGAAAATCCCTTGAAGCTGTCAAGCCCCAGTTTTTTTTAACAGCATTTTCTATTCCAGCTGAACGGTTTTTAACCAGCGAGACTGTCAAATCGCACAAAAACTCTTGCCCTTCAGCTAAGTGTCAGCAGTCGGAAAGTTGAAGAAAGTGGATTATGTGTTTTCAGAATTCCATACTCACGCACAGATTTAGAAATGTTAGGAGGAACTAGGTCTGCACTAACAGAACCGCCAACCCGTGACCTGACCTCCACATCCATTCCCGACTTCTCCCTTTCCCTGATTTCATCGCTTTATGCTTTTCTGCAGAAGCTCGAGCTTCCCAAAGTTGTCCAATCTCTCATTGCAACAGCCGAAGTCGTATTTTCAGCCATTCGTCAGCAGGCGGATCAGACACTACGGATAGTGCGTGATTGCTCGGTTTGCTAGTTATAACGGTTGGATCAGTGCTGCCTGTGTCGAGAATTGTTTTGCCCTTCGCTCGGCTTCGTCGCCTGATCTAGATCGTTATTTCGTCCTTGGGTTCAATTTCCCATGGCTACCACTTCGCTAACCACGGCTCGCGTGCTGGCGTGCCCGTCACGCACGACCTCATGGCTCGCTCCTAAAGCCGCGCCACGTGTCGTCTGCGTGTCCGTCGGTCCTTCCTCCACCCCGTCCTCCTCTTCCTCCACCCCGTCCTCCTCTTCCTCGTCCTCCGCGTTTCCCGCCTCCGCCAAGTCCGGAAGCTGCTGCGGCTCGCCATCAACCGGATCCGTCTCCGCTTCAGCAGCAGCAGCATCCGCGGCGGTCACAGCCGCGCCGCCTGCCGCGTCAACCGCAGCGCCCGCGTCGCCGCAGCTGACTCCGTCGCTGACGTCAGCAGCGAGCGATGCGGCGGCGTACGCAATTGCGAACCCGCCGAGAACGGACTGGACGAGGGACGAGATTCAGGCGATCTACTCGTCGCCTCTGCTCGACCTTATTTTTCACGGGGTACGATTCGTAAGGCCACGGTCTGTAAGGGTACGGTGCGTCTGGGTCAGGTCCAGTACGGTCCATAGAAGAGCTACGCCATGCTGAACCTCTGAGAACGGACTGGACGAGGATCGAGATCCAGGCCATCTACTCGTCGCCGCTCTTCGACCTTATTTTCCATGGGGTTCGGTCCTTAGGGGTTCGGTCCGTAGGGGTTCGGTCCGTATGGGTACGGTCCGTAGGGGCTCGGTCCGTAGGGTTACGGTCAGTTTGGTTACGTCCGTAGGAGTACGGGCCGTAGAAGAGGTACGGTTCGTAGAAGGGGGCAAGTGCGAAGCCGCGGAGATCGGACTGGACGAGGGACGAGATCCAGGCCATCTACTCGTCGCAGCTCCTCGACCTTATTTTCCACGGGGTACGATTCGTAAGGGCACGGTCCGAAGGGGTAATGTGCGTCTGGGTATGGTCCGTAGGAGTACGGTCCGTAGAAGAGGCACGTAATTGCGAACCCTCCGAGAACGGACTTGACGAGGGACGAGATCCAGGCAATTTGCTCGTCGCCGGTCCTCGACCTCGTCTTCCACGGGGTACGGTTCGAAGGGGTACGGTCAGTCTGGGTACGGTCCGTAGGAGTACTTTCCGTGGTAGAGGCACGGTTCGTAGAAGGGGTGCGCAACTGTAGATTGAAGCCGCGGCGATCGGACTGGACGAGGGACGAGATCCAGGTCGTTTACTCTTCGCCGCTGCTTGACCTTATTTTCCACGGGATACGGTCCGTAAGGATACGGTCGGTAGGGGTTCGATACGTAGGGGTACGCTGCTCTCCGTGAAGACTGGCGGGTGCTCCGAGGATTGCTCCTACTGCGCGCAGAAATGAGACGAGTTTTGAGTCGACTCAAAACTTGGAGGATTGCTCTCTGTGCTCTGAACGCCAACGTCCCTGGTTCCTCCCGTCGTCCCCATTATCCCCGCTACAGTCGCAGGTGCACCGCGCGGTGCACGGCAACAGGGAGGTGCAGCAGTGCACGCTGCTGTCCGTGAAAACCGGCGGATGCTCCGAGGACTGCTCCTACTGCGCGCAGTCGTCGCGCTACGACACCAGCCTGGAGCCGGCCAAGTTCATGCCGGAGGACGAGGTTATCAGCGCCGCGAAGAAGGTGAGCGGGGTTGTAATGGGTTGGGCTTATAGCGGGATGTGCTTGTAATGAGTTGTGCTTATAACGAGCGCAGTCGTCGCTACGACACCAGTCTGGAGCTGCGCAAGTTCATGCCGGAGGTGAGCGAGCCTATAACGGGTTGGCTGTTATAGAGCCATGCCTTAATGAGTTGTTCTCATAACGAATCGTTTTAGTAGCAAGCTGAACAGAAACCATGATGTAGCACAAGCCTCGAACCTAGCGAGTTCTTAGCAGAAGGTGAAGCGGATTGGATGTTCTGGCACAATCCATTTAGTCCTTCACTCTCAACGTCCCACATATCATCTTCCGTGTCGTCCCAACCTCTCATCTCTCGTATCATGCCACCCTTCATCCCTCTTATCAGGCGAAGGAGAGCGGCAGCACGCGGTTCTTCTGCATGGGCACAGCGTGGCGTGGCGTGGTGCCACGGGGTTTGCTTCTGTGCCTGTGTGCTTGTGTGCCTGTGTGCATGTGTGCACGTGTACGTACTTGTGTGCTTGTTGGCTAAAGTGCGTTGTGTGTCCCCTCCGCCCCCTCCGCCAGGCGAAGGAGAGCGGCAGCACGCGGTTTTGCATGGGCACGGCATGGCGTGGCGCCACGGGGCACACGGATGACTTCAACAAAGTGCTGGGCTATGTGCGCACCATCAAGTGAGTGGGCAGCAGAGTAATTGCGCGAGTGGGGCTTGGCAGTTTGCACAGCATCAAGTGAGTGAGCAAGTGGGCATTGGTGATTGTGCAGCAGTGTACGTGCATGCATACATGATGTAGGGAGGGGTCACTCGGATGATTTCAACCAAGTGCTGGGCTATGTGCGCACCATCAAGTGCTGGGCTATGTGCGCACCATCAAGTGAGTGGGCGAGTGGGGCTTGGTGTGTGGGCAGGGAGTGGGTGGGGCTTGGTTGTGGGCAGGGATTGGGTGGGGCTTGGTGTGTGGGCAGGGAGTGGGTGGGGCTTGGTGTGTGGGCAGGGAGTGGGTGGGGCTTGGTGTGTGGGCAGGGAGTGGGTGGGGCTTGGTGTGTGGGCAGGGATTGGGTGGGGCTTGGTGTGTGGGCAGGGAGTGGGTGGGGCTTGGTTGTGGGCAGGGAGTGGGTGGGGCTTGGTGTGTGGGCAGGGAGTGGGTGGGGCTTGGTTGTGGGCAGGGAGTGGGTGGGGCTTGGTGTGTGGGCAGGGAGTGGGTGGGGCTTGGTTGTGCGCAGTGCAGCATCAGAGTGAGTGTAGGGGGCTTGAGTTGCGAGCTGCTTTGGCATACAGCAACCGAGAAATAAAAAATGTGTTTTTGAGACGTCTCAAAAACACTCTTCTTTTTTTGGTATACAGCAACCGAGTAAAAAATTGTGTGCTGCACGGTGCGCGCAGGCAGTGCAGCTGGACATGGGCATGGGCTGACGCGTCGTCCCTCGCCCTCCACCCCCTTCCCCCCTCCGTCTCCTGCCTCCGTTCTCCCTCCACCCCTCCCCTGCAGGGACATGGGCATGGAGGTGTGCTCCACGCTGGGGATGCTCACGGAGCAGCAGGTGGTGCAGCAGCTGACGCTCCCTCCCCCCCCACTGTATTTCTTTCCTCCCTCAGTCTCTTGCCATCCCAGGGATATGGGCATGGAGGTGTGCTGCATGCTGGGAATGCTCACGGAGCAGCTGGTGGTGCAGCTGAAGCAGGCGGGGCTGACAGCTTACAACCACAACCTCGACACCTCCTGCGAGTTCCTCCCCTTGCCTCCCCCCTTACCCTGTGCGTCCCGCGGGTTCCACCACACCCAACCCCTCTGTATTCCGCCACACCCAACCCCCGCGTGCTCCTGTGTATTCTCCCCTCCTCTCCCCCCTGAATGGTATCCCTCCGCTGCAGGGACATGGGCATGGAGGTGTGCTGCACGCTGGGAATGCTGACGGAGCAGCAGGCGGTGCAGCTGAAGCAGGCGGGGCTGACGGCGTACAACCACAACCTCGACACGTCCCGCGAGTTCTACCCCAACGTCATCAGCACGCGCACCTATGACGACCGCCTGCAGACCATTGCCTATGCGCGCAACGCCGGCATCTCCGTGTGCTCCGGTGAGTTCACCCGTGCCTGTGCCTCTGGTGCGTGGCGTCTGCTGCTCTTGCTTCTTCCGCTGCGCATGGTCTGGGGATTCCTACCTCAGCTCTGTCCCCCTGCCTTCACTTCCTGTCTCCCCCCTTTCCCACCTCATCTCTGTGCCTTCACTCCCCATCCTCCCGTCTCTCCCCACCTTCCCCATCACCTGCACAGGAGGGATCATAGGGATGGGGGAGGCAGCGGAGGACAGGGTGGGGCTGCTCTATGAGCTCGCCACCATGCCGCAGCACCCAGAGAGCGTCCCTGTCAACCTCCTTGTGCCCATCCCCATCTCCCCTCTTCGCTCCCCTGCCGGCCCTATCCCTGTCCCCCTTCCTCCAAATCCCCCCCCTCCCCTCCCTCTTCCCCCGTTGTCTGCATCCCCATCCCCTGTTTGTCCCTCCCCCAACCCGTCCATCACCCTCCCGCCTAAACCCAACAGGAGGGATCATAGGGATGGGGGAGGCAGCGGAGGATAGGGTGGGGCTGCTCTATGAGCTCGCCACCATGCCACAGCACCCGGAGAGCGTCCCTGTCAACCTCCTTGTGCCCATCCCCGGCACGCCGCTCGAGAGCCAACCTCGCGTGCCCGTGTGGGACGTGCTCCGCATGATTGCCACCGCCCGCATCATCATGCCGCAAGCCATGGTGCGCATGTCCGCTGGGCGGCTCGGTTTGTCTGTAGCGGAGCAGGCGCTGTGCTTTTTGGCAGGTGCGAATTCGATTTTTACCGGGGAGCGGCTGTTGACGACGGCGAATAATGACAAGGATGAGGACGCGGAGATGTTTCAGCTGCTCGGGCTGCTGCCCAAGCCTGCCAATCTGTCCCTTTAGTGAGAGTTTACTTATAAGAAAATATTCCTCATTTGGATGTGTGGTGTATAGGGAACTGCTAGACCAGAGGATGCAATGCAGCGTGCGCTAGCAGCAACTGCAACTGCAGCCATTTATTAGGATGGCGCTGGTGCTGCTCCTTTTGAACCTACTTACAGTGGAGAACGTTGCATGATTTTTGTTGACATGGAATTTCCAGTTATATACAGCAAACTAATCATCTTGTAATGCACATGCCAAGGTGTTCCTTTCCTGAGAAACAAGCCATCTCAAGTGATGCCCTTCATGTTGATATATTTCTGCAGGCTTGAAACCTGATGGTGCACAAGACTGGTTATTGTTGACAAACTGGTTTATTCAAGTCCACTGGTTATTGTTTATTGCTGTGTGTTTTGTATCCGTGTAGGTACCTTCTCTAATTGTGCGAGGAGGTGTACCCGTAACGGATGGACAGAATCGCATTTTTTAGGAGGGGGAGCTCCAACCGTCTCGAGAAAAAATTCAACCGTTTTCCGAACCGCACGCTATGTTTCCAAGGTGCTGTTGTGGTGCTTATACCGCCCAGTGATTGGCCCCTCGATCTCGACGCGCTTCGATGTGCAGCCTGTCAGCTTGGCTCGAATTGTCCATCCCGCTAAACGTCACCTCGTCTGCTCGACTCCCAGACTTCTTCCATCCAACCACAACCACCTCCCACATGGGCTTGGCTCGCTCTCATTTCAATTCACACATCATTGGGTGAAAACAGTCATACTTTCTCAGTGACTCTCATTCCACGACAACTGAAAAACGCCTGGACTTCCGCACTGTTTATGCGAATACATTGGGCTTGGCTAGCTTCAGTACATTGGGCTTTGGGGGAGTGTGCTTGAAACAAGAGACGATCGCCTGCTACAACTTGGCGGAAATTTTCTTCCACCCCTGCAAACGCCCATACACGGGAAGCTTGAAAGATTTGGGGGAGGCTTGACTTTTTTCCGAATACAGCAGAGTCTGCTGCACGGGCTTAGTTGCGCCGTGGTTTGCATCTTTTAGGGTCGAAGAAATTCTAAATCTTTCACTCAAGGCATGCTAGTCTGTGTCCGACCTTCGGAAAAAAGATTGAGAGGCGTGGGAAACATAACCGCATCGGGCGAGCCCTTGCGAGGACCCCTGACATCACGCTGATCCGAGTCTCTCGATTCGATACAGTCCTATCCGCTCCCTGACCGCTGCCACTACTGAGCGGAAGACAAGCTTTCAGCGGCTTTGGAAGTTGGAACTTGCCTTTCGGCTGTGGGGGCTTTCACTGTGTGGGTGGGTGGGGAAAGGAGGTCTGGGGAAAGTGGGGTGGGGGGAAGAGACACGCCGTCGGCTCCCTCCCTCATGCTTTCCCTGCGCTGTTGCAACCCTGCTGACTGAGCATTTACAGGCTTTCAAGGAGTCAAGTTGACTCCATGACGTGTCTCCTCACCCCCTCATCATCGCCCCCCATCCTCCAACCTCCCATCCCAACCTCCCCACCAACAGCTTTCGTTCGTCTCAATCGCTCAGATCGCCTCCCGTTGCAACAGCAGCCATCGAGGCTGATCTGAACTGAACTGAACTGAACTGAAACCCTCGTCTGTCTCGTAGTAACAGCGAGTTTTGCGGCAATCGCGGACTGATTCAACTGCCGACGAATCTTGTGCTCGTCGCAAAAAAATAATCAGAATAGTAGATTTCGCCATGAATAGCACGACGCGCGTGTATGATGGTTCCGGTGCGGTTACAGAAACGGCCTCTGCTGCTGTTGCTGCTGGCGTTAGTAGGAGGCGGCATAACTCGCACGCTGCCGCAACCGCCCGACCGTCCAGACCGCCCGACCGTGCAGACCGCCCTGTGCCACGCGGTGCGTCGTCGCGTGATGTTGATGATGCTTCGGCTGCTCCCATCCCCGCCGTCGGTTCCGCTTCAAAACAGACCAGCAGTTTGTAAAAAGATTTCGGAGCGGCTTCGACGGAACTAAGGCTTCGACGGAATCGTTCCAATTCCACGAGGTTACAGTCACAGCGCGAGAGCGACGACTGTTCGAGTCGAGAGCAACGGCAGTAGCAGCGGCAGACTGCAGCAACAGCAGCAGCAGCACCAGAAGGAGCAGGAGCAGGAGAAGTAGCAGGGCATCCCTCATGCATATGATTCAGAAGATTACTACTGCACCACAATCGCACGCTCCAGAATGCGTTTGCACTGCTGCAGCGCGGTTGTCACTACCGTCTCACGTCTAGAATCTAACATGATCTCGACACGATCGCCAGCTAGAGGCTGATTTTTTTAAACGGATTCACTACTAGCAGGCCTTCCAGATTCGGATGATGTCGACTAGTATGGACAATGACGCTCAAAATTACCACTGCCTATCAGTGCAGAGTTTATGGCATCGGCGGTTATTTCTATCTACTTCCACTAGCAGAGTCCGCCACTAGGGTACCTCAGCGGCGGTTAATTTGAAGCCTGAGTTGCCGCGCTCGTTGGCCTAAGAACTGCTTTGGTTCTGTGGTTCATAGCACTGGCTGTGATCCGTGTTTTAATGGCCAGTGAGACACACTGAGCCGCTGCCGCTGCCTCCTTTTTTTCCCGCCGATTCAGGTGCTTTTCCCTGCCAGTGGCGGTACTACTACTAGAACAAGACTTGCTCGTTGAGCTGCGTTTCTCTCATGAAGTTTCCCCTCAGAGCTTGATTCTATGTGGAGCTCTCAGTCAGGTGCTAGTACTTATTAGCTCAAAATTGACAATACCTGAGAGAATTGCATGAATCTGAATTCGCAAACGATGGCCGCGACGGCCCTGAAAGACGCAGACACTTACGCGCTGATGTCTGGATAATCATCTGACGGCTGCAGCGCCGGAGATTAAGCTCCCGTAGATTGACTAACTGACTCAACGGCCTCGTTCTGCTCTTCAACGCGAGTTTTGCTTGATTCACGCTAATAGTGCAACGTGATTCGCACTATAAGTGCAACGTGTGGTGGCAAAGCACAGCCTCATAATATTACCAGTTATCCCTCTTATCGTTACAGCTACCAGAACAAGGTAGTAGCACCATTAGTCTCCGTTTTTCGCCACCAACCATGCACGATGATCATCACCATGCGACAGGTGCGTCTGCGTCGCCACCGTCGCCCAGGTCGCCCGCCATGGACGGTTGCGCCGGCGGCGCTGCAACCGCCGCTGCAGGGGGGAGCCGCGGATCCGCGGTAACCTCGGGGTTCCGCAAGCCGTTTCAGCGGTTCTACCGCGCCATGCTTGGCGGCAGCAGCGCCGGCGGCGGCGGCTCCTCCTCCTCCGCCTCGTCGTCTTCCTCCCACAAGAAGCTGTCGCCTCAGTCGTCGTCGTCGCACGCGTCGTCGCAGTCGTCGTCCTCCCACTCCTCACCGCACCAGCAAGCACGCATGCAGCAGACGCAGGCACAGCAACAGCAGGGCCAGCAGCAACAGCAGCAGCAGCAGCAGCAGTCTCCCGGATTCTTCAGCGGCCCTCACCAGAGCCGAATTTCCAGTGGACCTGTCAGCAGACCGACCCCAGGAGCATCATCAGCATCAGCATCAGCATATCTGGATCCTGTGTCAGTCCCTCTCCCGTCCCTCTCTCCCACACCAGTTCAGCACTCTTCTCAGTCTGTCCGGTCACCCCTCCCCACCGCTGGTTCCTCTGCATCTTTCCGGGATTCCCAAGGCAGTTTTGGAACGAATTCCCAAGGCCGCACAGACCACCAAGGCGGACCCACAAACTCCTCCCAGGGCTTGAGCGACTCAAGAATTCTTGGGAGTTTCCGGGATTCGAAAGGTCTCGAGTTCAATTCCGCCCTGGTCACATCTTTCCAGGAGGAGAGGGTGTCTGAAGTTTCGTCCTTTGCAGGCCGAACCAGAGGAGGTTCGGCCACGTCCCCGAGGATGCTGGTTCGGCGGAGCACGTTGCCGCTGACGTCAGCGCAGTCAAACCAAGCGGCTAGGGAACAGCAGCAGATGGTGCTTTCTCAGGGCCTCGCTGCTGCTGTTACTTCCGCATGTGGTAACCCTGTAACTGGCAGTGGTTCTGTAACCCTCCGACCCTCACCTCCCAGAAGCACGGCTGTGGCTGCAGCTGCGGCTGTGGCAGTGGCAGCTGTGACTATACCCAACGGTGCTTCTCCCCCAGGAGCACCCTCCGTTATAAGCCACGGAGGGCACAGGCACAGCCGGTCTAGAAGCGCGGCAGAGGGAGAAGGGCTGAGCCAGCCTGGTGGAGGAAGTGAAGGTGAGGGGCGGGGAGAAGCAGGGATTAACGAGGAGGGAGATGATGATGAGGATGATGAGGAGGAGGAGGAGAGGGAGAGGAGCGGAGTGTTTTTCCGGGGCCGGGCGGCGACGATATCCACCCTGCTGCCGCCCAGTGTGACTATAGAGGAAGGCACGTTCCGCACAGCAGAGAGATCTCCGATCAGGCGATACCAGCACCAATATTTCCAACAGCAGCAGCAGCAGCAGCAGCACCAGCGGCAGGCGTCAATGGGGCAAACCATACCTGGGTGGAGACGAGGCAGCTCACAGAGCGTGGTGCTTGTCGGCGAGCGAGGGGGGATGCTTGGCCGGCAGCAGCAGCAGCAGCAGCAGCAGCAGCAGCAGCAGCAGCAGCAGCAGCAGCAGCAGCAGCAGCAGCAGCAGCAGCAGCAGCAGCAGCAGCAGAAGCAGCAGCAGCAGCAGCAGCAGCAGCAGCAGCAGCTACAGCCGCAGCTACAGCAGCAGGCAGGCGGCAGCAGCCTCTCTGGTTCCCCCCACTCCCCCAGTCAAACCGCGTCTGGACAAGTCAATGCCGGTCAACGGGGCGGCGGTATGGGCAGCGTTGGTGCAGCCGGCATGGGCGGCATGGGCGGCAGGCCGCAGGGGCGGCGGCGGTCGCTGGTGTCGCACTCGGGCGGCTTGACAGCTGGCCTGTCTCCTGGCCTAGCCGCTCGTTCTGGCCTCACTGGGAGCTCTTTTGCCAGTGGTGCCTTTGCTGGTGGTGGCACTGCTATTGTAAGTGGCAGCATCAACACCCACGCGGGCAGCAGCAGCAGCTTTATCCGGGGCAGGAGCCGCACCATCTCCACCACTACAGTCACAGCTGTATCAGGGGCAGGCGGAGGGAGGCTGGGCGGAGCTGGAGGAGTAGGAGGAGGAGCAGGAGTGGGAGTGCTAGGAGGGGGAGCAGGAGGAGGAGGGGGGACGCTGTCGGCGCTGCCCCCGGCGCTGTCTCCACGTGCGTTGGCTCAGCTGGACCGCAGCTTTGGCAGTGATGAGTCCATGTCGTCCAGTGGTGAAGTGGTCAACGTGCTGCATGATGCTTCAGGCAGTGGTGCTGGCGGCATGAAGGTGAGTGCGGCGCTGCTGCTTGTGCCCTGCTCCTGCTCCTGCTCCTGCTCCTGCTCCTGCTCCTGCTCCTTCTCCTTCTCCTGCTCCTGCTCCTGATCCTGCTCCTTCTCCTTCTCCTTCTCCTGCTCATGCTCCTGCTCCTGCTCCTGCTGCTCCTGCTGCTCCTGCTGCTCTTCCTTCTGCTAGTGCTGTTCCTTCTCCTCTTACTCTTCCTCCTCCTCCTCCTCCTCCTCCTCCTCCTCCTCCTCCTCCTCCTCCTCCTCCTCCTCCTCCTCCTCCTCCTCCTCCTGCTGCTGCTGCTGCTGCTGCTGCTGCTGCTGCTGCTGCTGCTGCTGCTGCTGCTGCTGCTGTGATGCTGCTGCTGCTCCTCCTGCTCCTGCTCCTGCTCCTGATCCTGCTCCCGCTCCCGCTCCTCCTGCTCCTGCTCCTGCTCCTACCCCTGCTCCTGCTCCTGCTCCTGCTCCTGCTCCTGCTCCTGCTCCTGCCCCTGCTCCTGCTCCTGCTCCTGCTCCTGCTCCTGCTCCTGCTCCTTCTCCTGCTCCTGCTCCCGCTCCCGCTCCTCCTGCACCTGCTCCTGCTCCTGCTCCTGCTCCTGCTCCTTCTCCTGCTCCCGCTCCCGCTCCCGCTCCTCCTCCTCCTGCTCCTGCTCCTGCGCCTGCTCCTCCTGCTCCTGCTCCTGCTCCTGCTCCTGCTCCTGCTCCTTCTCCTGCTCCCGCTCCCGCTCCCGCTCCTCCTGCTCCTGCTCCTGCTCCTGCTCCTGCTCCTTCTCCTGCTCCTTCTCCTGCTCCCGCTCCCGCTCCTCCTGCTCCTGCTCCTGCTCCTGCTCACGCCCTCTTCACATCAAAGTGCGGACACACCTTCCACTTCCACTGCATCACCTCACCCCTATCCCTCTCCCACCCGCCCCTTGTCTCACTCAGGGCGTCTGTGCCATTTGCCTAGAGCGTCAACGGGCAGGGAGAGGGCACGCGCTCTTCACAGCGGAGTGTGGGCACACCTTCCACTTCCACTGCATCACAGCCAACGTGCGCCACGGCCACTCCGCCTGCCCACTCTGCCGCAAGCGCTGGCACGAGGTCCCCTGGATGGGCCCTCCCCTAGCCGCTCCTCCCCCTGCTGCCCCTGCTCCTGCCCCAGCTACTGCTGCTGCTGCCCTTGCTGCTTCCCCTGCGTCTGCTGCTGCTGGTGCTGGTGGTGTTGCTCCTGGTGCTGGTGGTGTTGCTCCTGGTGCTGGTATGATCTCTGCATTCTCCTCTTCAGGTTCCTCCTCTACCACTACCATTACTCCTGGCATCACCACACTCAACTCCCCCTCCTCCTCCTCGTCCTCCTCCCGCCACTCTCGCACCCGCTCCTCCTCTCCCCCAGACATGCTACTCGCACACTCCCCACGCGGCTCACCCAGTAACCTCCCCTTCCCAGAGCACCGGATTTCTGCTGTCCCACCTGCTGCTGCTGCTGCTGCGGCTGCTACAGGTGGCACCACTCCTGCAGGAGCAGTTGTGCCTGTCCAGATGTACCTCCCCCCTGTGGCGAATCCGTACATAGAGGACGGACCCGAGAGCCCAGACACCAGTGGCACGTATGATTCCGGGGAGATTCGGGCGGCAGCTGCTGCCGCCCAGTCGAAAGCCTGGGCGGCACTGAGGAGGAGCAGGGGCGGGGGAGGAGGGGGAGCGGGAGGGGGCGGGGGAGGAGGGGGAGCTGTGCCAACAAGTGCTGGTGCTGCTTCCTCACCTGCTCCTGCAGAGATCATACCCGCTGCACCCGCACTGGCAGCAGTAGCATCCTCATCATCAGCAGCACCTGTGTTTGCACCACCCACACTGGCAGCAGCAGCACCAACATCATCAGCAGCACCTGTGTTTGCACCACCACCCACAGGCATAGCTTTACAGCTGCCAGGCACAGTGGGAGCAGCGCCTATTCGAGTCCATCCAGTGGCGCGATCAACAGGAGGAGCAGGGGCATCAGCAGCGGCACTGTTGCCATGGCTCCCTGCCACGTCGTGCGAGGACCCTGACAGCACGACGTCGCTGCAGGAGTGGATGGGAGGGCGGCAGGGAGCGGCGGCATCAGACGTGGCAGCAGCATTAGGCGCAGCAGATGCCCCCCCAAGCGCCACATACGGTGAGCTGATTGCGGGAAGCAGCAGTCTCTCACTGCAAGCACCGCAACCACCACAGGTGCAGCAGCAGCAGCAGCAGAGTCTACTGAGGCAGGCGTCTATAGTGGCGCATGAACTGACACTAGGTCGCTCCAGAGCTGCCTCTGCCTTCCCCCGCTCCAAAAGCACCAGCGGCACTGCTGCTGCTGATTCTGCTGCTGCTGCTGCTGCTGCTGCTGGTAATTCTGCTGCTGGTTCCCTTACATCTGGTGCTAATGCGGCCAATGTTAGCAGCAGAATCAGCAGCAGCAGTGGTGGCGGCAGCAGCAGCGGCGGGCTTAGAACGGCTTCCAGCCTTCCCACGCCCCCTGCTGCCAGTCACGCGGTGCCTTTACCAAGTGTGGCAGGGGAGGAGGCTGGGGAGGCAAGGGGAGGCAAGGCCTGCCCAGCCTATGCTCCTCTGACACGTGGCAGCCTGCAGCCTCTCGCTGCCATCCATCCAGTGCGGCAGCAGATGCTGCTGCCAGGTCAGCAGGCACAGGGACCGACCCAGGGGCAAGGTCAGGCACAGGGACAGGGACAGATGCAAGCACAGGCACAGGGACAGGCACAAGGGCAAGTAGGGGCGGATGATTCGCCTCGAGTGTACAACGATGATCAGAGCCTCAATAGCCCCCCGGCTGCTGCCCCTGGCACCTCTGCTCTTGGTGCCATCTCTTCTCCTGCTGCTGCTGGCGATGCCGCCCCTGTTCCTATCGGAGGTGCTACTACCACAGATGGCGCCGTTTCTCCCACTGCTGGTTTGGTCGCCAGTGCCCCACGTGCTCTCTCACGCCTCTCTGCTGTTGGGTCGGCGGCAGTTGAGTCTGCGGTTTCGGAACCAAGTCCAGAGCTGCTCACTCCAACCTCTGCCCTTGCTGATGCGTCTGCTGCTGCTTCTTCTTCTTCTTCTGCTGCTGCTCCTCCTGCTCCTCCTCCTGCTGCTACATATTATGAAACGACAGCTACTGCTACAGCCGGGACTGACTGGCCTGAGAGCAGCCGTGCTACAGCCGCTCCAGGTGCATCAGGTGGAAGAGAGCTTCCTATCCTTGCAACGGAGACACCACGTCCTACTGCTACGGCCTTTAAAAGTGGCGCTGCTGCGCCAGAGCCAGCAGATAGTGAGGTACCAGCGGCAGGGGAAGAGACTGGAGCAGAGGCAGCCGTTCAACCCAAGAAGAGCACTGAGGAAGAGGAGTATGCACGAGCAAATAATGCTGCTGCTGCTGCTGCTGCTGCAGCAGCTTCTGATGCAGGTGCTAATACGGCTTATGGGGGCAGTGCTGCTGTGCAAGAGGCTGTGGCTTCTGATGCTACCACTGAACGCACTGCTATCACCACTGCTATCACCACTGCCGTTCCAGTCGCCGTTGCTCCTGATGCCTCACCTCCAGCCATCACCCCTCCAGCAATAACCGATCCCCAACCTCTTGCTGCTCCCTCTCAGCCTTCCCAGCCTTCCTCCTCCTCCTCCTCCTCCTCCTCCTCCTCCTCCTCCTCCTCCTCCTCCTCACCCTCATCCTCCACCCCTTCCGCCCCCTCCGTCCAGCCCCACCAGAAGACGCCTGCCTCAGAAAACGCCTCGTTCCCTGTCCAGCTGTCCGTGTGCGCGGAGCGCACGCCTCCCCCTTTCATGGAAGTTTCCGAGTGTTACACCGTGCTGCTCACTCTTAAAGCCCCTCCGCTCGACCCTCCTGCTGCTGACTCCACCACTCCTGCCTCTCCTCCAACCGAACACCACCAGGGCTCACCGCTCCCCACCCCTGCCACCACCGATGGAACCACTTCCACTATCACTACTACCACTCCTGCCGCCCACTCATCAAGAGTACCCATCGATTTAGTCACACTTTTGGACCTTAGCGGGAGCATGCACGGGCCGAAGCTTCAGCTGCTGCAGCAGGCCATGCTCTTCCTCATCTCCCAGCTCGGCCCCCACGATCGGCTCTCTATAATCACATTCTCCTCACAAGCACACCGCGTGACGCCCCTCAGGAGGATGACGGAGGAGGGGCGGCAGGAGGCGGAGGGGAAGGTGCGGGGGATGGTGGCGGGGGGAGGGACGAATATCGCCCAGGGGATGTTGAAGGCGTTGAGAGTGGTGGAGGAGAGGAGGGAGCGGAACCCGGTGGCGAGTATCATGCTGCTGTCCGATGGGCAAGATACCGCCACGTGCAGCCAGAAGGGGTTCGGATACAGGTGAGACTGGGCTGCTGTGGATTCAGGTGAGGAAAGTTTAGATGCAAGCGAGTCTGGGTTAGGGTGTGCAGGCACAGGCAGAAGTGTTGTATGTTCTTCCTCTCACGTTTGCAACTCTTTGCCTTATTCTCCCCCCCCGTTACTCCCTTCTTCATCCCATCCCTCCCCTCATGCCCCTCACTCCCCCCCCCTCTCCGCCAGCTCTCTCAACCACCCCAAGTAAACCTACAGCCGCCTGCTCCCCAGCCAGATGACCCGCAACAAACCCTCCTCCTCTCAGGATTCTGCTTCTTCCTCCTCTTCCTCCTCCCGGCGTCTAGTCCCCGTGCACACCTTTGGCTTTGGTGCCGACCACGACGCTGCCGCCCTGCACGCCATTGCCTTCACTCCCCTCATTTCAATATTCCTCATTCTCCTTTCCCATTTCTACTTGTCACCACCTCCCCTCTCTCTTTCCCCTTCCTTGCAGCTCTCTCAACCACCCCAAGCAAACCTACAGCCGCCTACTCCCCAGCCAGATGACACGCAACAAGTCCTCCTCCTCTCAAGATTCCTCCTCCTCCCGGCGTCTAGTCCCCGTGCACACCTTTGGCTTTGGTGCCGACCACGACGCTGCCGCCCTGCACGCCATAGCCGCCGACACAGCTGGCGTCTTCTCATTCGTCGAGGAGCCGGCCAGCGTGACCGCCGCCTTTGCGCAGTGCCTGGGCGGCCTGCTGTCTGTCGTTATCCAAGAGGCCAAGATCTCGTTCGCGGTGGGATCGGATCTCCCCGGGTGGCAGATCGCGGCAGTACATGCGGGGGGGTATGCATACAGAGTGGGGGAGAAGGAGAGGGATGGAGCGGTGCTGCTGGGGGATCTGTATGCAGAGGAGGAGCGGCACGTGATGCTGGAGGTGTGGCAGAGACGACAGATGGAGGTACGTGATTGGCGGAGGGATGCTGGAATTCATTGGTCGTGCTGTTTTCCCTGTGCCATTGCTTGTCGCATTCTGCGTGCGCGCTGCAGCTATAGATGCCGCCTGTTGTTAGGTTCGCCCCATTTGATTTCCCCCTCTTCCCTTTCCTCTCCTATCTCTCACAGGACAAATCCCGAGCCAGGGACACGTCAGCAAAAACAGCACAGCGCGACATGTGTCGCATTCTGAGAGCACGGTGCAGCTACAGATGCCGCCCGCTGTTCCAGGAAACCCACCGCACACCGCTGGTAGAGCTGGCCGTAGCACGAGCGGAGGAGGAGGAGGAGGAGGAGGAGGAGGAGGAGGAGGAGGAGGAGGAGGAGGAGGAGGAGGAGGAGGAGGGAGAGGAGGTGGAGGAAGGGTGGGAGGAAGAAGGGCGCATGTGGGAGGAGGGTGCAGAGGGGGAGTGGTATGATGAACAGCATGGGCAGGAGGAAGGGGAGTATGGGGCGCACAGCAGCGGGCATGATAGCTTTGCGGCGGCGCTCGCAGCAGCAGGCGGGTGGGACAGTGGCGCGCAGGGAAGCAGCAGGCAGGCCAGTGGCAGGCAAGAAGGGGCGTCCCATGGTGTGTCGCCGCCAGTGTCAGGAGCTATGGAGTCTGGACGGCAGGGGGGAGAAGGGAGGAGGAGAAATGCCGAGGTGGCGAGGGTGAGGAGGAAGAAGGCTCCTCCGCCCTTGGCTCTGGAGAGGCAGAAGAACCGACTTGCCGCCACCAAATGCATCACTGCAGTATGATCTCACTCACTCCCTCACTTGCTTTCTCACTCATGCAGTCATTCTCTCTCACTCACTCTCTCACTTGCTCTCTCACTCATGCAGTCATTCTCTCTCACTCACTCTCTCACTCGTGCACTCATGCTCAGTCACTCTCTCGCTCTCTCACTCGTGCACTCACTGACTATGTCACTTGCTCTCTCTGTCGTGCACTCACTCACTCACTCTTCTTTCCTTCACCCCATTTCTGCTGTCCGGACCCGACTCGCATCCCTGCGTCTCTCTTTACTCCAGGCGTTGCAGCAGGCAGAGGCGGGCAGCCTGGCAGCAGCACAGCGCACCATACAGCAAGGCGTGGCAGCCATCCAATCGTCTTATGCCATGCAGGTATGTTGTCCAAGAAACATTTTTTTTTTACCCCCCCACCCAACCCTCCCCCTGCCCCTCCCCCTCCCCCTTCCTCCCCACACACATCCCCCCTATTTTTCCTCGTTTGCTTTCTTTTGCCAATGTAAATCCTTCCATCCTCCTCGTCTGCAGCTTACACAACCCTTTCCCACTGTCATGCCTCTCTCGCTTGCCTGTCCCACTGTCATGCCTCTCTCGCTTGCCTGTCCCACTGTCATGCCTCTCTCGCTTGCCTGTCCCGCTGTCTTGCCTCTCTCGCTTGCCTGTCCCGCTGTCATGCCTCTCTCGCTTGCCTGTCCCGCTGTCATGCCTCTCTCGCTTGCCTGTCCCGCTGTCATGCCTCTCTCGCTTGCCTGTCCCACTGTCATGCCTCTCTCGCTTGCCTGTCCCACTGTCATGCCTCTCTCGCTTGCCTGTCCCGCTGTCATGCCTCTCCCTGCCCCGTTCCTCTCTTCTATTCCATGCAATTTCGTGCGCAGCAAGGGGATGAGGCATCAATGCATTTGATTGACGAGCTGATGGAGATCGAGAGACGCATGTGCAACATGCAGGTGAATGGGAGTGTCGGTTACATGTCATATGTGCTGCAGCACTTTCTCTGAGTTTGTAAGAATGTTTTCTGTTTCAACATGATCATTTTTTTTTTTCCGCACTCTCAGTGCAGTCATGTCATCTGGTGCTGCCCCGTCTCACAGCATGCCTCCATTCACTCCCTCACATCTTCCTCCTCTTCTCCTCTTTCTCCCACTTCCTATTCTTGCTCTTCTCCTCTTTCTCCCACTTCCTATTCCTGCTCTTCTCCTCTTTCTCCCACTTCCTATTCCTGCTCTTCTCCTCTTTCTCCCACTTCCTATTCCTGCTCTTCTCCTCTTTCTCCCACTTCCTATTCCTGCTCTTCTCCTCTTTCTCCCACTTCCTATTCCTCCTCTTCTCCTCTTTCTCCCACTTCCTATTCCTGCTCTTCTCCTCTTTCTCTCACTTCCTATTCCTGCTCTTCTCCTCTTTCTCCCACTTCCTATTCCTGCTCTTCTCCTCTTTCTCCCACTTCCTATTCCTTCTCTTGTCCTCTTTCTCCCACTTCCTATTCCTGCTCTTCTCCTCTTTCTCCCACTTCCTATTCCCCCTCTCCCAGGTTTGGCGTATGCACTTTCAGTGCAGTCAGCCCATCTGCTGCCGCCCCGTCTCACACTCTCACGTCTCCTCACCAACTCTTCTCCCATCTCTTCCCCTCCCTTTCCACAGACGTACAAGGGAGCAGGTCTGGCGTATGCTCTCTCTGCGCAGTCAGCTCATCTGCTGCAGCGAGCAAACACGAGGGGGGGAGGGGCCGCAGCAGACAGCACAGCTGGCCTCGACTACATGGTAACACACCCATCATTATTCTGCTGTGACTTGGTTAATGTGCCCGACTCTTCTTTGCCTAGCGAACCAACAAACCAACACTCCAACTTCCCCTCCCTAATGCCCTCGTATTGTTCTTACCATAAATATATGTTTTTTTTTTTTGTGTGCATTTTCCAGGTGATGTTCCAACCCCCTGCTCCTCTGTTTTGTTCTCCATATTCCTTTACGCTGTTTCCCTTGCCCTTTCTACCCCTTCCCGTTTCTGCGTTTCTCACCATCAGACGCCTTCAATGGTCAACATGCTGCACAAGTCACGAGCACATAGCGCTGCCTTCACAACATCCCCCTCCTCCTACCCATCCTCCTCGTCTCGCCACACTCATCCTAACCGCCCCACACTCCCTCAAACACACCCTTCACCACACGCCTCACCTCATCTGGAGGACACGAGCAACAGCAGCAGTGGGTCGCTGGTGCTGCCAGCGCCTCACTCAGGTCCATTCATGGACGGCAGGGAGTGTGAAACACCCACGTTTCGAGGCAGAGGGGTGCCAAAAAACGGTAGAGGAGGAGGGGCAGCAGCTGCTGGCGTTGCTGCAGCTGCTGCTGCTGCCGCCTCCTCCATATCACCCTCTCAGCCGTTTTTTGACAGCAGACAAGGGCCGAACGGGGCAAATGGGATGCTCGCTGCTACAGCTGCAGCCCTTCCCCAACCACCCCTGGACGGTTTGAATGGAGCAAGCTACAGCAACATCTGCTCCTCTCAGCGTGGTATTGATGTCTCCTTTGGCAACTCCTGTGAGCAGCAGCAGCAGCAGCAGGGCGAGACAGAGGAGCTCTTATTTGGCTCGGCTTCCTTTCAATCCAGACCGCCAACAGAGGCAGCGTGCCAGACACGCCGACAACAGCAGCAGAAGCAACAGCAGCAGCAGCAGCAGCAGCAGCAGCAGCAGCAGCAGCAGCAGCAGCAGCAGCAGCAGCAGCAGCAGCAGCAGCAGCAGCAGCAGCAGCAGCAGCAGCAGCAGCAGCAGCAGCAGCAGCAGCAGGGAGGAGTGGGGCTGAGAAGGCAGAGGTCTGGCGTGCAGCGCAGCAGCAAGCCGGCTCCCCTGGTGGTGCGCAGTGGGATGGGTCTCGCTGCTGCTGTGGCCGCCGCTGCTGCAGCTGCAGGGGATGGCCGGCTGGACTCCTCTGCTTCACTCTCTGCTGTGGCTCATGCGCTCTCGTCCTCACCTCGTCCCGTGGAAGCATGAACCTCCTTGCCTGGTGTCTAAACTCTACTCCTAATCTTCGCCCTACCCTTGCCTCATCCTCGCCTCGTCCTGTGGAGGCATGAAATATGAAAGTGCTTGCCTGGTGTCTACATCTTATCCTAGCCTCGCTCCTCGCCTCATGCCCGTCTCGTATCTCGTCTCGTCCTCGCCTCGTCTGTGCATGGTGTGTGCCATGGTCCTTCTTGGAGAAATGTATGGTAGGGCGTGTAGATGTAGGATCGACACTGCTGCATGGAGAATCAATAAGTAGCAATTAGGAGTGCATTCATGTGTTGTTCCTGAACTGTGTGTGTGCCTTTCATATGGCATGTGCTTGTTATGTATGCTTGTGATAGTATTGCAATCGCCCCGATATACCATATGCCCCCGGATATAAGTGCAGGCCTATGTTAAGCGGATGCGCTTATAGCTGGAGCAGTGCTGGCTGATCCTCAATTATAAGAGCACCCACTGTAAAACCCTGATTTATTATAAGCACATGTATAAATGTATTTAAAATCATGAATAAATCGGCAGCGGCGGCACCTGGTAGCAGCGGCGCACGGGGCAGGGATGGCTCGCGGGCAGCGGCGGCTTGCGAGTAGTGACGGCGCCAGGCAGCAGCGACGCGCGTGGCAGCTCAAAGGGCGCGTGCGAGGCAGCGCCTGTTAGAATACTAACGCAGGAATGATGAGATTAGGCAGCATGAGAAGTACAAGTAGGGAAACCCAAAAAGGGTTGTACTCTAAGTAAGCTACCCCAATACAGCCTACAAAGATAGAAATACGGTTTGACACACCTTCATAGGCAAACTGGGGGTTCATAAGAACAACCAACAGTCACAAGACCAGTCAAGCAAGAGAACAAAGCAAAACAAAGCTCAGGGTGGATCTCAAGATCACCACGCAGTCACACAAGCAATCGGCCACAAGGCCAGTTCACATGCAGAGTTATAAAAGCACAAGCAGTAGAGTGATCACAACCTAGCAAGATCAAGCATGCAGTTATATATAGATAGATCACAACACAAGACAAGTCAAGTGTTGGGCTGGGAAGAAGCCCTTAGGATCTTTGCAAGGCTAAACTCTGGGTAGGACTTGTTGTAGATGCGGAAGCGTATAATGATAAGTCTTGAACCACCTTGCGCTGGTATGTGAGGGCAAAGTAGATTGATTAATCAAAGAGATACAAGGCTTTTATAAGAGTACAAGGAATATGAAAAGATGCAACTACTGTCAGCCCCCGGATAGAAGCGCCCCTGGGGGTATAAAAAAACACTTTTTTTTTTAGGGGGTGCGCTTATATTTGAGGATTTTTATAAGCGCCGGGGCTTATATAATGACATATATGAAATCTAGTTTTTTTTTGCACTAAATTGTTCATCTCGTCCTTGCCATTTGAATCGAATCGATATTGTAGAGGGCATTGAATTTGAATTTCGCGTGAATTGGCAGTGGCTGATTCCCTGCCAACACATACAGTCAGATTGAGTCCGATTGACTCCCTGCCAACACACACAGTCAGAATGAGTCAGATTGACCCCATGACAGCTCATTCTGACTAGACGCGAAGGCATTGAGTCGCGCGAGGGGCAAGGGTTTCGAAATTCTGAATGTGGGGATGCAATATTGTGTTTCGTTTCAGCGTTTTTAGTAAAAATATAAAAAATATTACAGAGGGTGGCGCTTATAATCCGTAAGCCTTCAGGGGTGCGCTTATAATCGAGGACCGGATATAAGCGCCCTCATCCTTTTATAAGCGCTGGCGCTTATCCGAGGCCTGCGCTTCTATCCGGGGGCTTATGGTAAATCCCGGTTTTTCTGTTGCTGTTGCGGTTCGATACAGTGACGACTCGGGCAACTGCTCAATAGCGAGTCAGTTGTGTCAGAATATGTTGTTTCTGTAGCCTGCACTGGGGTACTCAATAGTGAGTACAGCCCCTTAGGGTTTGCTATTTGTATCCTGCTGCTTGCTAGTCCAATCATCCCTTCCTCATTTCTGTTCATGCACACAACTCTCGCTCGTACTTGGCGCCTCGTTCTAGTCTTCTAGTGGCCTAGGCTACTAAGCCTAGGCCCGACTACTTAGTATATTTAACAAGTTGTTTGTCCTTGCTGTCGCGCTGTACTTGTCAGGTGAAAGGTCGCTGACCTTTGACTTTCGCGTAGCCTCCAGCGGTTTCTTCACTTCTCAACTTCCAAGTGTTGACTCGTCGATGCTTCGCTGTGCTTCGCCTTGTTTACGACTTAGTGTTTTGACACACAACAGGAGCGTTCAAATTACTTGTTTCCAACACTCCCCTTCGCTTCTGGAGTGTCGCTGCTAGTGACGTGGCTCTGTCCAGTCAGCAGCATGCAGTATTCAAACTTCTGCTTTCCGAGCTCCTTGGTCAAGTAATCAGCTGACATCTCAGACGTGGGGCAGTAAGACAGCTCGAATCTCCCCTTCTCGATCTCGTCCTTCACAAAGAAATATCACAGAGCAATATGCTTCGTTCTGTTCGCAAATCCATTCTTATTGGCTATGCGGATTACAGACTGGTTGTCGCAAAATAGAGAGAAGCAGGGTAACTGGGCCAGCTTCGCTTCTTCCAGCAGTTCGCGAAGGTAAAGTCCTTTCTTGGTGGCTGAGCAGAATGCAATATATTCTGCATCATGTGAGGAGAGAGCAATTAGCTTCTGCTTGCTCGATTGCCATGAGATGAGCCCGATAGGCTCGAGTCGGTAGATATAGCCGGTGCGCGAGCGCCTGTTGTCAGAGTCGCCGGCGTGATCGGCGTCGACGTAGCCGATTAGTTTAGGCGCTGTAGTTCCGGTCTTGTAGTAAGTTAGTCCGATCGTCGGGGTGCTGACGAGGTAGTGTAGTGCGCGGTCGAGCTCCGCCATGTGCTCTGCTTCAGGTTTCTTGAGGTACGTAGCGAGTTGGCTTGCGGAGTACGAGAGATCCGGTCGGCAGGTGACGGCTGCGAAGAGCAGACATCCTAGTTTTCGTTGGTAGTCGTGTATGCCAGCGGGTTTGAGTAGAGCGGAACCTTCCTTGTAATTTCCGACGGTGAAGAGATATGGCGTGGAGATGGCGGTCGGGGTGAGTCCGAAGCGTTTGGCGATGGTGTCGGCGTATTTCACGGCACTGAGGTAGATTGCGTTTTCTTCCTCCTGAATATTGAGCCCGAGGTATTGCGTTACGGTAGATGAAACCGTGAGCGTGAGGTCCTGCTGCATTTCCCCTTCGAACCAGGTCGTAATGTCGTCAATCGAGCCAATGTAGAGGAGATCATCCACGTAGACGATAAGCAAGATGTAGTTGGTGCCCTTTGTGAACCGGTACATGCCTTGGTCGTGTGGTAGCTGGAGGAATCCGATGCGGATGAGTCGAGCGTGTAGATAATGCTGCCACAGTCTCGGAGCCTGCTTAATGCCGTACAGGGACTTTAGCAGCTGACAGACTTGGTTGGGCTCTCCGTTGGAGCCGTGTGGCAATTCGACGAAGATTTCGGCGTCAACAGGTGCGTAGAGAAATGCATTAGCGACGTCGATTTGCTGCAGCTTCTTCTTCTTCATGGCGGCGATCGCGAGGAGAATTCGAAGCAAAGTGTGTCGGCTGACCGGGGCGAACGTCTCGGTGAAATCGAGCTCGTGCTCTTGGTCGAAACTGCGCACGACCCAGCGCGCCTTAAACTTGTCAATGGTGCCGTCTGCCTTTGTTTTTACACGGAAGACCCATTTTCCGGTGAGTACCATTTCGTTGCGTGCCACGCCGATGGGAACGACTTTCCAGGTGTTCCGTTCTTCCAGCGCTTTCAGCTCCCTGTCCATGGTTTCGCGCCATTTTTCCTTACGCTCCCCCCCCAGAGCTTGCTGAACTGTAGCAGGCTCCTTAGGAATCGCTGTGCCATGGACCGCGGTGACGAGGCCAAGTATCTGGAGACCACTCTGTGTGTAGCGGGGAAGTGTCGTGTCCTCGGGATAAGCCGCTTTGTCGCCCGCTTCTGGGTCAGGTATGAAATTGGGCCCTATGCGTTCTGCTTCGTTGGTGTTGACTCTTGCGGGTGTAACGTAACCGTTGTCGACGAAGTGGTAATACACTTCGGCGTTGACGCTTTCGTGAGGATTTTCGTCATCCATTGGGACGTCGACGGAGCAGAACGCATCCACGTTCTACTCGTCCCAGTCAGCTTCGTCTGCTGCCGAGGCGAAGGCTCGGTCACCATGAAAACCACCTGTGGGGTCCCGGTCTTCTTCCAGGTTGGCAAGGTGCGTCGGAAGTGTGAGTCGCTCGTAGAAAATGACATCACGTGCTGCTACTGTTTCCTTTGAGTGGACGTCGAAAATCTTCCACGCGTTGTAATTCTTTTCAATGCCCAGGGGTAGACCTCACTGTGCGCGTTGGGAGAATTGGCTTGCTCGTGCAGCTGGGGGTCGGTACTGTACCATGCAGCCGAAATCTCTGATCATTTTTGTGCTGCCCTGTTTTCCTGTCCACAGCAGGTGCGGTGATGCGCTGTTCGCGAGCGATGATGATGAGAGCAGGTTGTGCAGCATGACATCGTAGCCCATTGCTTCGGGCCATTGGTGGTTGGGTAGCCGCATGCCACGTAGCAGCTTGCACATGGTATTCTGGAGAGTCCTCTTCATCCTTTCTGCTACGCCTTGCCCTTGGTGGGCGTAGGGAAGAGAGATGAGCCGCTTGATTCCTCTCTCTGCCAAGTACTGCTTGAACCTCTGTGAGGTGTATTCTCCTCCCCCGTCATACTGGAAGCTCTTTAGATTAACTCCCGATTCCCAATCTGCTACTGGGAGCCAGGCAACGAAGGCTTCGAAGGCCATGTCGCGGCTTGGAAGGTTGAGATGCCAGACATAGCGAGTGGCGGCGTCGATGAACGTGATGGTGTAGCTGTATGCTCCTTGTCCAGGTTCGCGATTGTACAGGATGTCGCTGTACACTTTCTCCAGAGGCGCGTAAGTTGGAGCACTAGGGTTGTGATGAGATACAAACGGCCG